CTAATGGGTGTATGATGGTTTAAATTCATTGTGGTTTACCTTTACATTTCTCTTATGACTCAGAAAGATGAGCATCTTATGATGTGTTTATCGGTTGTACGTACATCTTCTTTTGTAAAATGTGTCCAAATATTTTATTCATTTTTAAAATTGGGTTGTCTTCTAACTATTGAGGTGTAAGAGTTCTTTCGATATTTTAAATACAACTCATTTGTCAAATATAAATTATAAACATTTTCTCCCATTTTGTGGCTTGCCTGTTTGTTTACCTGACCACTCTTAATGTCATCAATATCATTGTTACAGATTATTTTACCAAGGTAAGGAGGACTTGTCCCTTTGAAATGAAATGTGAGCACACGATGAAATTATAGCAGAGTGTAAACTTGTACGTTCACTTTTGGAAAGTTCAGCTGATCTGGGGAGTAGAGCGTGGCAGTGGAGTCGTAACGGTGAATTGACCCATGTTAAGTCAGAACTAGAGAATGAGGTGGCCATATCAGTAAAATATATCAGCATATACATCTCTTTGTTGCCAAACAATAGAGATATCTGTCTTTCCTTACCAATCACCTAAAGCTCTCTTCTAAACCAATCTCTTTCTTCTTATACCAGCCCTTTTCCCTATTGTTCTTTTATTTTAAAAACCTAGCACAGCGTTGCATATTCCAGGAAGAAAAACAAGACTGGTTCTAAATATCGAAACTTGAAATTACAAGTATTAGTAGCATAGTGACTTGATTTTCATTGTATCACAAGAATTAAAGAGGTTTTAGGAATCTAAGGTTGTCTATCTAGGACAGGGGTTGGCAAACTGTGGCTTGTGGGCTAAGTCCAGCTTTTAATGCCTGTTTTTGTAAATGAAGTAAATAAAATAAATACGTGTTTATATTATGTGCTATCTATGGCTGCTTTCACGTACAATGGTAGAATTGAATTGTTGCAACAGAGACTATGTGGCCCACAAAAGCCTAAAATATTTATTATCTGGCCCTTCACAGAAAAAGTTTGCTGACCCCTGATCTAGGGAGAAATAAGTCCATTAACCTGTAAGCAATGTAGTGAGTCATTTCTCTCTGGGTGAAAATTCAGAGTCACCACTTGTGATAGTAAGCGGGAGGTGGGGGCGGTCGGAGGGTGTGCTATCCAAGAAATTAAAGCTGATGTTAAAGGCCTTCTCTGTTAAAATATAGTTTATTCATTGAGATAGCATTGTGAACACATTTATCACCATCAGAAACAGGCATTTTTTTGTACTTACTATTTGAGTACTTAAGTTAGTCATATAGATGTATGTGGTCCTCCAACAGTCTTCTAAAACCCACTTTATAAATTTACTGCCCATGTATCTCTCTCTGTTCTTGTATCCCCTCCCTGCCCTAAGAGTAATACTAGAAAAATGAGAAATCAGTTTAGACAGTGTTAACAGGTTTAGGCTTGGAGGGCCCATAATGAACAGAGGTGGGGTTGGAGGTCAAGTAAGAAAATTATCCAAGAAATTTAAGAGGCCCTCTTTGTCGTTGGTACATAGAGGATTAGAGAAACCATGAAGATGATTTGTCATTCTGGTAATGATAAGATACATAGGTATCTTTAGAAAATGAGCGACATCAAGAACACAATAGGATTTTCTTTGGTAAGTTCTAGTGACT